GGGGGGGGAGAGAGAGAGAGAGAGAGAGAGAGAGAGAAGGAAGGACAGAAGTGGGGAGGACCTTCACAAGGAGTCCCAGGCTTTTGACTGTGAATATTTCAAATATATTGACAAGTAGATCTATAAAATGTTACTGAAAAGGCAAAATGCCTAATGTTGTTTCCAACAGTTCCTCTGGACTTCTCCCCACATACCACACTACACCCCAGATGGCAGAGACCAAAGGCTACACTTTTGAAAAAACAAAAACAAGAATAAGCCCTGTTGCTCTTTAAGGAGAAAGCAAGGAGCTGAAGGCTGCTGGGGTCTTTCCCGTGTGGCCTGTGTTCTGTAAAGCAACTTCCCAGCAGCAGGACGGCACTGTTCTAGGTGAGTGTCTCACCTTTTGTCACCTGTGAAAGGAAAGGAAAATTGACATTTAGATAAGTTAAAACATATTAGAGGGATCTTTAAAAAAAATCATACTTGAGATCCTAAGCAGTGAGAAATAGAAAAGAACACAGCTGTGAGTCACAGAAACCTGTTCAAATCCAGGCAATGTGTTTAACTTTTTCTTTTTTTGAGACAGAGTCTCACTATGCTGCCCAGGCTGGAGTGCCCTGGTGTGATCTCGGCTCACTGCAACCTCCACCTCCCGGGTTCAAGTGATTATACTGCCTCAGCCCCCCAAGTAGGTAGCATTATAGGTGCACACCACTATGCCTGACTAATTTTTGTATTTAAAGTAGAGACAGGGTTTCACCATGTTGGCCAGGCTGGTCTCGAACTCCTGATCTCAGGTGATTCACCCACCTCAGCCTCCTGAAGTAGAAGTGTTGCAATTACAGGCGTGAGCCACCATGTCTGGTCGGTGCTTAAGTTTCCTAAGACTGTTTCTGCTTTTAGGTTTTTGTCAGCAATAAGTAGAAATGTGCATTCTCTCTTGGAATGGCCTTGCCTGTCATACTCACCCGTGCTTCAATATACTCTATTCTCCGTTCAAGGGCTGTCAACTTCTCGTTTAGTGTTGCAAGTCTTGAACGACATGACATATCTGGGAAAAAGAGACTGGCGTTTAGGATTAATGTCACTCCAAACACGGACACACGTAACTCCTAGACTGAAAAGAGGAATAATATAATACACAGAATACAAATGGAAGTGGATACAGTGAGAAGTATCTTAGCACAGTTGCTTAGAGTGGATCTCTTTTTTTTTTTTTTTTTTTGAGACGGAGTTTCGCTCTTGTTACCTAGGCCGGAGTGCAATGGCGCGATCTCGGCTCACCGCAACCTCCGCCTCCTGGGTTCAGGCAATTCTCCTGCCTCAGCCTCCGGAGTAGCTGGGATTACAGGCAGGCGCCACCATGACCAGCTAATTTTTTGCACCTTTAGTAGAGACGGGGTTTCACCATGTTGACCAGGATGGTCTCGATCTCTTGACCTCGTGATCCACCTGCCTCGGCCTCCCAAAGTGCTGGGATTACAGGCTTGAGCCACTGCGCCTGGCAGAGTGGATCTCTTGAACTTCCTATCAAGTGTGGCTAGTGAATAATGGCCCCATAAAAATGTCCTTTCCCGCCTGGCGCAATGGCTCACGCCTGTAATCCTAGCACTTTGGGAGGCCAAGGTCGGTGGATCACCTGATTTCAAGAGTTCAGGGCCAGCCTGGCCAACATGGTAAAACCCTATCTCTTACTAAAAATACAAAAATTAGCCGGGCGTGATGGCACGTGTCTGTAATCTAGCTACTTGAGAGGCTGAGGCAGGAGAATTGCTTAAACCCAGGGGACAGAGGTTGCAGTGAGCTCAGATCATGTCACTTCACTTTAGCCTGGGCAAAAAAGCAAAGGTCCGTCTCACAAAAATTTTCTTTCCCTAATTCCTGGAGCCTGCAAATATGGATCATACATGAGGAAACAGGGATCATACATGATTAAGGTTAAGAACCTTGAGATCCTAGAGTTTGTCCTGGATTGTCCATTTGGGCCCAATCTAATCATAAGTCCACAAATGTAGATGAGAAAGGCAGAGGAAGGGGGTCAGAGATGAAATAGAAGAAAAAGAGATTCGCAATGTGAAGGGGATGCAATCTGCCATTGTTGGCTTTGGAAGTGGAAGAAAGGAGCCATGAGCCAAGGGATGCAAGTGACCTTTAGAAGCTGGGAACAACCATGAGCTGACAGCCAGCAAGAAAACAGAGATCTCAGTCCTACAACCACAAGAAAATGAATTCTGCCAACAACCCAGTAATCAAGGAACTAGACCCTCTCCTAGAGCCTCTAGAAACGAAGATAGTCCTGCTGACACCTTGATTTGAGCCAGGCCAGGAGCAGTAGCTCATGCCTGTAATCCTAGTACTTTGGAAGGCCAACATAGGACGATTGCTAGCCCAGTGACCAGTGTTGGATTTCTGACCTACACAACGGTAAAACAATAAATTTATGTGGTTTAAGCCAAAAAATGGGTGGTAATTTGTTACAGCAGCAATAGCAAATAAATACAAGGCTATACAGCCATTTACTAATGGGCAAACTAAAAGTTTCAAGACTGAGGACATGGCAAGAGTAAGAAAATAATCTCTTGGCCAGGCCCGGTGGCTCACGCCTATAATCCCAGCACTTTGGGGAGGCCGAGGCAGGTGGATCATGAGATCAAGGGATCGAGACCATCCTGGTCAACATGGTGAAACCCCGTCTCTACTAAAAATACAAAAATTAGCTGGGCATGGTGGTGCGTACCTGTAGTCCCAGCTACTCGGGAGGCTGAGGCAAGAGAATTGCTTGAACCCAGGAGGCGGAGGTTGTGGTGAGCAGAGATCACGCCATTGCACTCCAGCCTGGGTAACAAGAGTGAAACTCCGTCCCGCCCCCCGCCCAAAAAAAAAGAAAAAAAAAAAAAGAAAAGAATCTCAATAGGAAAGACACAAGGTTGGGCGTGGTGGCTCACCCCTGTAATCCCGGCATTTGGGGAAGCCAAGGTGGGCAGATCAACTGAGGTCAGGAGTTTGAGATCAGCCTGGCCAACATGGTGAAACCTCGTCTCTACTAAAAATACAAAATTAGCCAGGTGTGGTGGCGAGCACTTGTAATTCCAGCTACTTGGGAGGCTGAGGCAGGAGAATCACTTGAATCTGGGAGGCAGAGGCTGCAGTGAGCCAGGATTGCACCACTGCACTCCAGACTGGGTGACAGAGCGAGACTCCATTTCAAAAAAAAAAAAAAAAAAAAAAGGAAGCAGCAGAAAATATGGGGAGGGAAGGTTTGAGAATTCTGAGTGCATTAAAGTCACATCACTACTGTTCCTCCTTGAGGCAAAGGCCTTTTAGAACTAGAGAAAACTTGGAGAACTTAAAATACCCTATAAAGCCCATATTCTATTTGTGAAAAGAGCCAAAATTCTTTTTCTTCCTCTAGCTTTCCCAATATTCTTTTACCACCTCATTCAAAATGAAACCAGATTTCCTTTAAAACATCTTTATCTCTGTAAACTTCTGTAACAGAAACTACTCTTTTTCCAACTATTCTCAACATATGAGAAAAAAGGTATCTTAGCATGGTAATTATTTCCTACTTTCCTCCAATACTGTTCAGTCATCTCTCAATAACCTTAAGTTTTTAAGTCTGAAACATTTGCTGAGACTCTCCCATGCGGTGATTTAACACTTAGCTAACCAGTTTCCTTTTCATCTATTTCCTAGCTGTTTGGCAAAAGCACTTCAGCATCCATTTTGACAAATCTTCCTACACCCTGATCTTGCCTCAACTTTCATCTGATTATGTCCAAATCTTACTTATCTTGCCTGCCTAAACATTCTCCTTCAAGGCTAAGTTCAAATTCTATCTCTGAGAGGTCTTGTCCAATGGACATGATAATTCTCCCTCTTCTGTATTTATCTAAACATTTATGGATTAATATCTTTTTTTTTTTTTGAGGCAGAGTCTCGCTTTGTCACCATGCTGGAGTTCAGTGGCTCGATCTTTGCTCACTACAACCTCCACCTCCCAGGTTCAAGCGATTCTCCTGCCTCAGCCTCCTGAGTAGCTGGGACTATAGGCACATGCAACCACACCCAGCTAATTTTTGTAATTTTAGTAGAAATGGGGTTTCACTATGTTGGCCAGGATGGTCTCAATCTCTTGACCTTGTGATCCACCAGCCTCGGACTCCCAAAGTGAGGGGATTACAGTTGTGTGCCACCGCGCCTAGCTTTTTTTTTTTTTTTTTTTTTTTTTTTAAAGAGACATGGTCTTGCTCTGTTGCCCAGGCTAGAGTTCAGTGGCACAATGATAGTTTACTGAACCCTCCATCTCTTAGGTTCAAGTGATCCTTCCACCTCAGCCTCCCGAGTAGCTGGGAATACTACTCAGTAGGTGGATGCCACTGTGCCAATTTTTTTTTTTTTTTTTTTTTTTGGTTGAGATGGGGTTCTCACTTTGTTTCCCAGGCTGGTCTCAAACTCCTGAACTCAAGCAATCCGCCAGCTGTGGCCTCCCAAAGTGCTGGGATTATAGGCATAAGGCCCTGTGCCCAGCCTTTGAATTTCTAATTTGTAAATTATTCATGTACTCGGTCTTTGGTTATCACTTCCCCCTTTGCATAAAGATTTTACAAATAAGAATGTGCATCACTATTACTCAAGATGGTGAAAAACCAACAAAACCAAATGACTATGATTGGAATGGTTTGAAAAAGTATAGTATATCTATGAGACTATTAAAATAGCCATTAACAGTTACAAGTTTGAGGAATTTTTAATGGAAAATGTTCATGGTATAAAGCCAAATGATATTTATGTACTTGTAATTCACAATTTACTTATATGTCTGTTTCACCATTAGAACAAGTTAATCAAAAGAAGTACATATTGCTGGCTGGGTGGGGTAGCTCATGCCTGTAATCCCAGCACTTTGGGAGGCCGAGGAAGGAGGATCACCTGAGGTCGGGAGTTCAAGACCAGCCTGGCCAATATGGTGAACCCCATCTCTACTAAAAATACAAAAATTAGCTGGGCATGGTGGCAAATGCCTGTACTCCAGCTACTCGGGAGGCTGAGGCAGGAGAATCTCTTGAATCCAGGAGGCAGAGGTTGCGGTGAGCTGAGATTAGCCATTGCACTCCAGCCTGGGCAACAAGAGCGACACTCCATTTCAAAAACAAAACAACAACAAGAAGAATAAAAAAAACATGTTGCCTCTTATTAATCTTGTAACCTTAGCATCTTGCCTGGTACGTAGATGTTTATTCAAAAAGAAAAGGATGATGGATTCTGTTATGTTAGTAGAATAAAAGATTGACTCTAGTGTAACTCCATTCGCCTTGCAAGTGGGAAAACTGAGGCCTAGGTAAGCTGAAGGCTGATGTTGGGTCACTGATGGGACATACCAAGCAGGGCTGAGTTTAGAAGCCAGTTCTCTCACTGCCCAGTATGCCTGTCCCAGTGCATACTGCTACCATCCTTCTGTGCCTCTGGGGCTGTAATTTATGCATACCAGGTTTCTTAAAACCTGTTTACAGCCCAGCTCTGCCACTTTCCATTCTTTCACCTTATACAATTCAATGGTTTTCAGTATATTTCCAGAGTTGTGCAACTATTATCATAATCTACTTTTAGAATATTTTCATCATCCCCAAAGACACCTTGTACCTCTTAGTCCTGTCACTCCCCATTCTGCCACCCCTCTGGCTCCCTGGGAACCACTAATTTTTGTCTCTGTGGACTTGCCTATTCTGGACATTCTTCATTCTTCTTTTTATGTTTGTGCTGCTTCCTCGAATTCCCAGGTCTAGCTTAACTATGAGCACTTCAGCATCCCCTTTTCCCGGATGCACTGCCACTTTCTGTCGGATCTGCCCAACAGGACCCAGCCTTTTTTCAGTCTGGTTCTTGGAAGTCTGAAAGCACATTAGGTATGCTACTGAGTAAGAACATGAATATTATCTCTGACAGCCTGTCATTTCCCATCAAGAGAGACATACCAAAATTATTGCGGGGAAGGAGGTGAGAGGGAAGGTTCCTTCCTGGATGGCTATTCTGTTCTAGCTGTCAATCTGG